CCCTTCCCCCCCCAGACACAGTGAGAGCAACAGCTAGTTGGTAATAGCATTTTTAGTGGCCACTGGGTAGCTTTTCACCAGTGTGCAGGGAGTGCAAAGAGGGGTTGGTTTGGGGTAACATTGTCTCCCCTGAGAAGCCCAGGGCTATGTCTTAACCTCAGCAGTGGCTCTCTAAGTCTGGACATCTCACTCATGGGGGTTTGGGAGAAGAGTATACCTGTAAGTCTTCAACGTGGCTTTCTCTTTAGACTGCAGCATGGCTGCTGAGCAGCTGAAGAATAACTCTAGGCACAAGGCTTATCTGGAAGGAGTCTCACTGTGTCAGCTGCAGAAGCTGTACAGTTTGCTGAAGGGTCATTTGAGAGGAGAGAGCCTGGCTGAGAGCTTGGAAAAGTTTCAGCAGGAAAAGCCCATTGACCCAGAAGAGGATATGAACAAACTGGATGACAGGGAGCTAGACAAAAGGAAGAGGATCATGGATGAGCTGTTTGAAAAGAACAGGAAGAAGAAGGATGACCCAGATTTCATCTACAACATTGAGGTTGAGTTTCCAAAGGATGAGCACCTGGAATCCTGTAGCTGGGACATAGAGTCAGGTGAAGAAATCTGATTCTGGACAAAGATGTGTTGGATGGACAGCTCAGAGACAAATCCTGGAGTCCTAACGGAGAATGATGTCGGCGTACACAGCCACATTGTTTTCAGCTCATGCAGTTGATGTACATGACACTGGCTGCGGAAAACGCGAAACCTAAGGAGCTACAGCAATTCCAGTTTTAAGTGAACTTTAAGAAGTCAGACCTGATGAAATGGAAATTGGACAGCTGAACTTACTGTATGGTTTTAATCTTTTCCTATGTATAAATGTCCAAAATAATTTTAAGTTATTTAATCTTCCACTTGTTTATATTTCAGTCAGCTTTGGCTGAAAACCTCATCACCAGCTTGCTTTGCTGCCATTTCTATTCTGCATTGGCTGAAAATGAAGTGTTAAATATTTATGTCTTGAAAGCAGTGTTAAAGCTTTATTGTGTAAGTATGGTATTTATTATTACTTGCTGGAATGTTAAGTGGGTATTAGTCTTTCTGGATAAGTCAACATTGCATTCAGAATATTACGCTCACATTTCCTGGGCAATGCTTAAATTTCCAGCTTACACAACTATAAATCATTATATTTAAGAAATGGAAGGACAAACAGTAGGTTGGTTTTTTGTTTGTTTTTTTTTTGGGGGGGGGGAGGGCTATTTCTTTTGTTGGACTTTTTGTTTGGTTTGGAGGTTTTTGTTTGGTTTTGGGGTTTGTTTGTGGTTTCTTTGAGAAAACCAGGACAATTCCTGCTCTGGAGATATGGGCTCAGAAAGCACTTCAGAGCAAAGAATGCTCACCTAAGACTTCTGCAGCCCCATGTCCCCAAGCTGCCATTGAAGGGAGAAGGGGAGGCATGCAGGCACACGTGTACCTCAGGTGACCACAGCAATCACAGTCACACAGGAGACGGAAGGAAAAATGTCTCATGCAAAGGCTCCGCTCTAACCTGGGGGATTTGAAGATCAAAACCAAACCCTGAATTGCTCCTACAAATCAATGAGCCATTGCAACTTACGAACCATAGGAACAAAGGTATTTTTTACACTAAAGAGGATTTCATCATTAGCCAGCTTTATTCTACCCACTATAACTTCCACAAACAATTGTTTCCCTAGATAGCATGTGTAGTCACCTGGATTACGGCAGGGAATAGAGGTGGTCATCACTGCTACAAGCGGACCTGTTCAAAAGAGAATGCCACAATGCTCAAAAAGCATCATATAATGCTACTGCTTATGCAGTCAACATCAGTGCTCCCTCAACAGCAACCTGGTTCTGTTCCTTTAAATGCAACCACAATAAATGTTCAACAAGCTATAAGGTCTTCTATTACTTACTTCACTTAAATGATAGGGCAGCCCCTTGCATCTCTACTGAATCCATATGTTGATACACTAAGGGGGGGGACTATAAATAACTAAACAAATTTCAGGGGCTACTGAACCAGAAGCATAGATATGACCACACTATTCCTAAACCCTTCAAACTTTGCACTTTGAACCACTTCTACTTGCCATCATCAGATTAGAAAATTATTGTTACCTAAGCCAGGCAAATGCTTACAAACAGAAAACCAAAACAAAATACATTCTTCCCGTAAAGAAATCAGCATTATTTAGAACAGTCAGGTTTACCAAGCACACTGTAGCTGTGGAGTGTGCACATCTCTGTCAAAAGACAGTTATTCTTGAGAGACTGAACAGTGATATACAGAAGTTTTAGTATTTACCAGCCTAAACGAGTAACAGCTCATGAATGTTCATGTTCCTCCTCCATTCTCAGAGACAGCTCTTTTGCAAGCTGTGTTCTGCTGTTAGCTTGGTTTCAATAGCCAGGTCAGACACCATGTAACTGAGCAGAGCCTGTCAAGCAGAAATCAGCTCTATCAGAGGACAGATTAAACTCTATACGGGTGAGTTCACTCTTTCCATGACTCACCAAGCTGTTTGAGGGTCATAGGCTCCTGTCAAACAAGTGTCCATATGGTCACAGTAGACACTAAAGCACAAAACGCAGGTGACACAAGGGGATTTGTAGAGAGGATCTTTGGGTGACAAGCGATAACTAGCCTCGGTGCTCTGCTTCATCACAATGAAACTGAAGCCAAATACGAAACTGGAGCAGCATGAGCCTCCTGCATCCTGAAATAAACACTGCAAATTGGGTTTGGGCAGTGCTGAAAATATGCCACTTCAATTTTTCTACAGTCACAATTTCTCCATCACATACTTTTACCACTTTGCTAGAAGATTTGGTCAGATTTAAGCAAGGTTTGGTGCCATCAGATAGCACTTGGTTTGAAAAACAGTATTTTGTTTCTTGAAGTTTAAATACTATTCCTTGCCCTTCATACTAAACTGCTTCTAAATTAAAATAAAGGAAAACTCAGCAAGCCTGTCCCCACCAGCTGCAGCATGGTGTGTGCAGTCAGCTCAAACAGGAAGAGAATACAGCTCCTCTGCTAAATCAGTATTTAACTAACAGCCTGCTCCAGACAGATATGTAAATATCGCACAACTGACATTAAAGAGCTCAGCTCTGTTATCAGGCCTGGACTTCGTTAGAACACCACCTCAGATCATCTTCACAGAATTTTGATTAACAGGGCTACAAACTACATGTACACTGAAGTCAACCACAGGGTCCTGGTTCACCTGGAAAGTCCAACGTCTCCCTCCCACTGCAGTTTGTCACTACAACCCAGAAGAGGCAGCATCAATGTATTCAGAGCCTTGTTCTCCACCACAGAGGCACTCTGGAGATGTTGGTATTTTTATTGAGAAATATTCAAAAAAACAGCTGAATTTCTAAGAGCGAAACAAGGAGGCAGTGCATCACGGCTCTGCTCATCAGCCCCCTTCCCTCCCCAGGGCAAAGCAGTCTAGGAAGCTGGAGGAATCCCCCAGTGGAAAGGGAGTAGAATTCTTGAGAGCCATTTAACTTCTCATCTCTATTCAAAATAAAACCAGAGATGTGACATTACACATCCCATCACAATCTTTTATCCACTCTAATGCAATCCTAGACTTTCAAATACCTGTAGGGAAGACTTTACCTCATGGCAGACTGTTCCACAGGTTAGTTTCGCCTAACAAATGGTGCTGTTAAGACAAATTCCAGGGTTTCCTGCATGGCTCTAAAAAGTCAAACAGAATGAAAACAGTTAATTCAGCATGAGAGATGACATTTTGAAACAAGTCCATCATTGTTACACCAAAGTGTAACTCCAGTCCTCCCCACACCCCAAATAACCATCTCCCAACTGTTGCTAGCTCCAGAATTTGAGATAAAGACTTCTTATATCAAATATTTTTTTCACTCTAAGAAAACCTATACCTTGGGATGGGAAGGAGGATGAAGGGGTTAAGATCTGGCAGCAGAGATAGCAGATGTGTCTCTGGCTTATCAGATTTATAGATTTATTATGTAAAACCCCTGAATACGTACTTCTGATGGATGTTTCCCCTCTATTTTTAGAACGTGTGGATAGCTCATGTGGAAGAGAAGTTCCTGTCTGTGCCCCTTGGGTTCAACAGGAGCCCTACCCTGCAAACCACACACAGCTCTTCTGTATACAAAAAAATGCTCATCACTGCTTTGCTAGAAGCAGGTTGTTTCCCTCTCCCAGTTTAGTGTTTCAGGATTAGGGCAATTTCCACACTAATCCTGTTCTTCAGGCATCTGTAACAATAATAATAATATCTGTAAGAATATATGTAAGGGACAACATAAAAGAAAAATACCACTTTGGAAATGTCTCATTAAAAAAGGATTTCTAAGATGCAAAACACAATCTACAAGTTGTTATAACTAGATTAACAACAAATGTTTCATTTGAATACTGTATTTTAATTAATTAGATTAACATTAATACAGTTTATCAAGTCATTCATTTCCCCATTACAAAGTTAAAACATTAAAGTTGACAGAGCAGGGCACTGCTGCACTGAGTTACAGAACCCTCCTGGAGAAAAGGCTTACACATTCAAAAGGTGCTCACTTACAACATCTGGATTATCAGAGACAATGACAACTTGATATATCCTTTACCAAATAACTTTTAAGGCAAACATCTTTCAACCTGTGCTCATACATGTACACACCCAGTGCAGAAGCCACGCTATTCTCAAAAGCATCACAATCCTGAACAGAAGAAGAAATGCTGCTGCAACACTGGTTTGGCAGGTTCCTTAAGAGTATTATTCCTTTTGGATTTAAATTGAGTAGTGGTTTGGTTTTCTCTTCAATTATGTAATTGAAATATTGAGTCAATCTAGAAATGACAACAGAACAAAACATCTTTTGAAAAGCTAAATGTCTTCACGGAACTAATTCACATGTGCAGCCAGTGCAAATGGACAGCATCAGCTTCAACAGTTTTAAATAATCACTAACTAGGCTTAGTCAGATTTTGTTCTTAATTCAAATTTTATTTAGAATTTAAATTTATAGTTCAAAAAGTATGCACATTCTGTAGGTATAAAAGTTTAAAAAAATACATCGATTTATTGATAAATGCTTCAGGTTAAATTTACATTTTCATACATTATCATTATATTGCAATAATTGTCTTGCATCTTTTAACACATAAAAAATAAATTAACGGGATTGGATAAATCACTTGAAACCATGCTAGAATAATTCCTTAGAAAAGAGGGGTGAAGTTTGCCATAGTAATTCTAAATTCCTTGCTACTGTAAATAAATAACTCTTCCATTAAGCAATACAAGGTTAGCAGAACAGCACTTACTGGGTGAACAGGAAGCCATGGTGGGATACCAACATTGTACCAAGAACATGAAGAGAATTAACTTCTACCCTGACAGCAACTTTGACCTCTCAAAACACAAAACTCTCTTACCCTCACCCACCCAATTCCCCCCTTCCTCACGGGGGGGGGATGTGTAAAGGACAAGGAATGACTCTTCATCTCCTTTTGGTTACAGGGACTATCAAAACATCCGTATGTGATCTGGTAACTATTTTTAATTAAACCAAGAATGCATTTCCAAAATGTGAAATGTGTAATTGCTCACCATAAATACCTAAAGATAAGAGGAGAAGATGGAAACAGCTCTATCTAATCAGGTCACAGTGAACTGCAATCCCACCCAAACTCCCCAGGAGTAACATCACTCAACCCATTCTACCTCATGTAACAACTCAGGTTTCCATTTTGGGGAGATTCATTGAAATAAAGACTCAGAAAAGAAGTAACTGCCTTTGAACTTGAGTCTTGCATCTCCAGAGCCTTCAGAGTGGGCTCAAACACGTCTAACTACAGCAGCCAGACAAAGGTACCACAACAGAAACATGTGAAACTCCACAATAATGTAACAGGTTACAAGGACAAACCAGAAGTGTTTTTTGAAAGGTAAATACCTTCCAGACCTTCCTTATATATGGAGGGGAAATGAAAAAAAAGATGCAGAGACAAAACCTGAACAAAAGGAAAAAAAAAAAAAAAACAGGGAAAGCAGGTGGTGTGTGAGAGAGAACACAAGGTCATTAACGTTAATCATTCCCTTGCCTTCCCCCTGGCCATATCTCTGTGCATAAAACAAACACTGTGTTACCCAAGGGATAACCTCCTCCCGGCATCACTGAACACGTCCTCCTCAACATGGGGACGCTGCATCATTTTGAGACCTCTCCTCTTCAAAGGTGGCTACAGACACATGCACATTTATACATAGATATATACAAACAAGGTTAGAAAAATATTTAATTTTTGCTTGTTTAAATAATTACTGGAAAGTGTTAATACAGGAATACATTAATATTTGTACAATTAAAACTTTATATATAAATATTATATATATATAAAGCATTTTTCATAGCAGCCATTGCATATATAGTAGAACAAGTCTGTGAAGTCTATGCTGCAAACTGAGGCCAAGCAGCATCCATCCTCTTCTGAGAGGAGCATCTGTACCGGAGCCAGGATTTCAAGATTGAGGAGTTCTGCTCCTCCAGTAAAGCCACCGCTTTATCTTGTACCAGATATTGCCCACACCACCTAAGTGCATAGTGTTTTTAGGGAGAAATGCCACTATGTGGAATCACCTCAGAGTCTTTAAGCTTGTCTCCAACAGCTGAATCAGGCCAACACCTTCTAACAAAACGGCAGAAACATAACAGAATGGCTTAAAGTGTGTTAACGTCAGGTAGCCATGGCCTTATCACTAGGTGTGAGGGGGCAAGTGAGGGGCAAGGAGGAGGCGTCGTGCAGGACAGGGTTTAATAACTCATATTTAGTTTATTTTTGTTGAGTTCCCTTTCCAGGTTTCCTATCAGAGTATCGATGCTTTCCTGCAGGTCTTTGAGGTTTGCTTTGTGATCCACTGTGGAGTCTATCGCTTGCATTGTCAAATAGCTCTGAAACGTGTGCTCTCTGGGGATGGACTGGGGGTGTCCTGCCAGGGCATCCAGCTCCTCAGCTTTGCTGCTGTCATCCCCGCTCTCTGAGTCCTCCGAAGGGACGTCATCGTAGTCTGCTTCAGTCAGGCAGTCTTTTGAGTTTAAGAAGTAGTTCTCCCCACAGCTACTCCAGTCTCCAGCATAGCGGTTGCTCGACGGGCTGTTTAGACCTGCTGGCCTTGGTCTGAGTACCCCAGATATCTCGGTACCGCTCAGATTCAGCATCTGAGGCCTCTGCCTCTTGGGTCTCAGGTAATTCAGGGAGGATGCGTGCTCGGGAAAGGCATTCAGATGTGCTGGCTCTTTGGCAGGTGAGTGGTGTACTAGAAGAGAGAAGTTACACCAGTCAGGAGTGAATCCACGCTGAAACAAGGAAAGTCGACAACAGATGCCGACTTTCCTCCCTTGATGTCACACGCTAAGAGCATGCATGAATACATGCAAGCTTACAGCCAACACATTCCACTATTACATTTTCCACCACTGAATGATACGAAATAATTAGAAAACTACTGTCAAAGCTCAGTTTTGAAGATTCATGCCAGATTCAAACTGCAACAGAGAAAAAAGCCTATCTAAAAAGTAGAAACTCCAAGAGCACCGATTAAATTCATAGCGTGAGTTAATCACCATCGGGCTCCAGGTCAAAGGAAAGCAAACAGCTCAGCTCACACACTTGGCTCAGGCTACAGGAGTAACAGAAAGCAGGCACAGCAAAAGAGGTTAAAACGCAACAAAAACCCCACTGCTGAGAAACACCTAGAGAAGCTGAAGAGCCGAACTCTTGCACTTCTCTTCTACCCTAACGTTCTGCACTATTAAAGCAGCTCATTTGCATTAATTTGCCTAAGCAGCCACAACCCCATGTCAGATGTACACTCAAACAGGTTTGACAGCAGCGTTACCTGAGCTCACGATTCTACAGCATAAGTTACTAACAGTCTCCTCCACTGTTACCGGCTTCCTACGGTAAACAGCACAAATATTTTTACCGACCTATTAAGCCCATTAAGCATCTGAGCTGCAAAACTTCTGCTTTTACACAGACCACCTCTTGGAATTAGCAGCAGAGACTTTCTATTCCCACAGAATAGAAAACGTGATGCACATAAATCCTTGCAGTTCACAGTCTCACCCAATCCTCATTGGACTCCTCACCCACAAGCACAAAGGCTCAGTCCCGAGATGTGCCCAATGCTTTTCTTTCTAGGTCTGCATTACAGGTCTCTCCAGGGGATTTTAGTCTTACTTTGCATCCTGCACAGTAACATGCAATAACTATCACTGCTTCTCCCCCCCCACCCTCCCTTACTATAACAAAAGCCCTTCTGTTTAGGCTATGCTCCATTAAGAGGAAGGGCCGTGGCTTAACAATAACTTGCCAGTATTATATGATCTAACTGAACAAGGACTATTTGTTTTCAGTTGGAAAAATACGGAAATTGAAGTATTGCACAACATGTTGATTATCAAGCTGTCTCAATCTACAGAAGATTAAATGTAAGGGACGAGGCTGGGATCCTTCCGTCGGGTCCAACTGTTCTGTTTACACTGCCAGGTGTACACTTGCTCACGTCTCTGTGCTCATGTTTTACCACCCTTTTAGCACAATGTTCAGTTCTTGCAATCCAAGGGTCAACGCTCGGCTCTACTCTTCAAGGTGAAGGAAAACTCCACTACTGACCCTACTCCTGTCCCCTTTACAGCAATACACACTCCTATGGGCAGAGCTGCATCTACCTACTTGTTTTCCACAGCTGCTATGCAATAAGACATCCCCAGGGTTTCATAATTAGCTCCTGCACAGCATCTGCTGCCCCAAAAGCCCTCAGTCTCCCTCTTCCTCCACCCATGTTTCTCTTCTGTGCGGGCTCACCAACTGATAACCTGTTTTCAGTTTTGGTGGTCAGCAGCTTAGGACTGCCCAGCTGCAGCTCGCAATGGAGCAGAAGTGTCCTCAACCATCTCAATCCCATCATGAAGATGCACCATTTGTCAAACTAACTCTCCTCTTGCTCTTATCTTCAGGCAGAGCCAACAGCCAGCAGTTTCCCTGCTGCGCTGACCCAGAGCATGGTCAGTGTGCGCTTGTTACAGCCACAGGGTTGGCTTGTCACAGGAGGTGACTCCAGGGCACAGCCACCACCAGGTCACCAGAGTATGGAAATAATGTGAAGAGCATTATCCACAAGCAGCTCCTGCAGTGATATCCTTCCAGCACCCACATCTGAGCTGATGGAAAGCCACTCACCTGCTCAGCTGGAAATGGGGCAGAGTGGCTAGCACTGCCTAATGCAAGCAAACTGTTATCAATCAGGCTGTCAGGATGTTCCCAACTCTGCCAAGTTACAAGGGAAGAAATAAAGCAGCCCTTTGGGTCATTTATGAGACCAAACAACTAATGAATTCCATACACAGTTAATCCTGAATGGTCAAAGCAGGAGAGCAAGTGGGGGAAAAAAACAATCAAACAAAGCCCCCATAAAACCCCCAAACAATCCAAAAAACACCCCAAAAAACCCAAACAACAAACAAAAAACCATTTCCAAAACCCCTTAATTCAGATGCTGAAGCCTCACTGTTACTAGGTTTGTTTTTTCTCATGTCTTTAATCACATAAATCACTCTCCACCATTTCTGACATTATACTCAAACTCTGCCATCTGGCAAGAAAGCAATCAAAACAACACATTTCCTATTAAACAAAGTGATCAAATATAAAGAGTAGATTACAAAATTGTCAAGATTTCTTTAGATTACCAGGTGACAACATAGTACCTTGTGTTTTAGGAACTACAATGCTGCTCAATCATCCTGTGGATTAACATACACTGTTACGCAGTACAGCCGCACAACAGTGGTTCATGAAACGGTACCTGGCCACAGCTGGAGTAAATAGTGAAGAACCTCTATGTGCTTTTTGAAGTCTAGGGCACTAGCAAGCTCCTCCGAGTCAATGAAGACTCTGTTGTTATGGTTAGTGGTCTCCTGCCTCTGGCTCAGTAACACAGGCCCAAAACATACAGCTAAATTCTGGCATGTCATCTTATTTACTTCGTGGTAAGAAGCCACTAGTTTCAGGTGATCCAACAGCATCTTCAGGGTAGCCTAAAAGAACAAATTAAGATAGATTTTCTGGTAAAATACAGCTTGTGTCTTACCTGATCTCATTTTTACATTTATGAGTTTTCTCACAGTGGAATGGGGACAGGAGGAGAGGGGAGAGAAGCTGCAGAAGCAGTAGTGATGATCCAGGTACATTAGAAAATAAAGAAATATTCAGTATGACCCCAGCATCAGAACAAGCTTCCAGGTAACCTTCCAGGTACTGTGCAAGCCACTCACTCCCTATGTCCCCCCAAGAAAGAGGCTAACTGTGGTTTTCTACATTTGGAAGGTGTCAGCACACACCACTATTACACTGCACAGTAGTAAACACTTTATTGAACATACTTAAGAAGGCGAATGCATTTGCCCTTGTGATTACGACATACAGATCAGAGAGCTCCACAGAAATGGAGGAGGATACCACAGGAGAATAATCTTCAATCTAACAGTGTAAAAGTAATGGTCACAGCTTTTCATTCAGTTTTACAGAGACAATATAAAACTCAACTCAGAATAAACCCAGTAATGCAGAGCCTCCAATTAATCACAGCATGGAAGTATTTTCAAAGATGTGGGGCATCAGAAATCCAAGTGGACGGTTAAGTCAGGAAATGGGTGTACACATTTTGACATGTCTTATTTACAGAGTGAAAATGTCCCTTATTTTCTGAAGCATGCAATTTACTTGCCCCTGCTAGCACCACTCACCTTCTCAACATCTGGCAGACAATCCAGAAGGGCTGCTGTGTGCTCAGAGTCAGCTGGGTCATTCTCACAGCCACTTGCTGTCATTTTCAAGGGATTTTTCACCATGGCATCCAACACTGCTTCATAGAGCTGCTTGGTTATCAGGGGAGAGGGTAGCTCTCGCAGGTAATCCTTTAGGACACCTTCACAAGAGACACAAGAACAGTTGCCTTTAACAAGGTGCAGATTCACTTTCCAGCACTTTTTGGGACCACTGAGGGACATCAGCTTCATCTGAACCATAAGAAAATCCTTTGTGTCAGTGACACTCCTTACACTTGTGAGCCAGAGGTGAGAGGATGACAGCAACATGGCACAGTGAACCACGGACTCAGCGAAGAGGCAAGAGGTATCTCTGCAACCTCCCCATAAGGCTAGGGCCACCAGCACCCCATTCCTGCAATCTCAGCAGCTTCTCCAACTCACACAAGGCAGCTCATCACAAAGAAAGGAGTGAAGCCAGGATAGGAAGGTGCACTGCCCCCAGAGGTGTGCGCAGGAGCGGGTACACCAGGCACAGAGTGGGCACCTCCCCTCATTAGGGTGACAGAGAGGCAAGGAAAGGGCTCTTAGCAATCCCGCGCCCTGTCCAAGGAAAGGAGCTTTTACAAACACCAAAGTCTTCAGCTCCATGACACCTCCTCCTTTATGTGCAACGGCAGCCTATTTGTTCGGTTTATTTGCAGCTATAAAATGATAAGCAAACATCCCAGTGCCAGCAGCATGTTTGGTGAAGCACACACATTTCCTCACCTACCAAAGCAAAAACCACACGGATGTCCTTGAGAGGGAAACACCAGCTCCGGCCTGCCTGCCATATTCATCTGGAATATGTTTTGGTGTATTTTGTTTGTTTTATGAAGAATATGTCACTTCTGTTACAGCTCCACTTAAGGGGCTAGTTTTTGTTTAACAACTTAACTATATTCATCTCTGCCCACCAAATTTTATATCTTCCCTGGATTTTAGAGGCCCACGTTCCATGCATAGCTGGTTAAAGTATTTCAGAGACAAATGTGGCAGAGGCTGGTGCTATACAGCATGGTTTGGGATACTTTCCTTTTTCCATAAGCAAAACAGTAGCAAAAGATGCTGACTTTTACCAGGATCTTTGCTTCAGCTGTGCTTTTTTTTGGAGGTGGAGGCTGACATAAGAATCAGCTTACAGTAGGAACTGGTCTGTCGTAACCAAATCCCTTCATACTACTGAAAAACTCACAACTGTCCATTAAAAATCATTTAGTAGAAAATTCTGTAATAGCATCCACAGTCATGGGACTACCACCTGTCAAAGGACTTTCTCCTGTTCAGCCCTGAATAACAGGACAGTTTAATGCCCCCTGACCTTTCTAAATCCTTTTGCTATTCACTCAGCTAAATTAGCCCTGTAAGAGGCTGTTGCTATTTCTTGTCATGAATCTACACTTCCCACTGTTACCAGCCCACTAGCACATTTGCCTTGACACAACCACACACAACAAATTTAGACAGCAAGCACAAACTGCCATCCACTTCATTAATTCCTCATTTTTCTGGCCCACTGAGCTGTTAATAGCATTGCATGCTTTATGCAGAGATATGAATTCACGTGGATGCGAACAGACACAGTACAACAACATGACTCCTGGTCAGTTCCAAAATTGGGCTGCACACTCCAACTTGAGCCACAACCGGACTTAATTTGTGTGTAAGCCTCTGCCAACCCCAAGAGCATTCCTCAGTCAGGATTTAGTCATTAAATGTTCATTCTTTAGTCTTTGGAGACCTGTCAAAACCAAAAAAATCCTTTTAATCTCTTCACAAAGGAGAGCTACTCACATTTCAGAGGGACACGAGGCAGCGTTTCTCTCCAAATCAGCCAAGATTTGTGCTGAGGATTCATATTTTATGGAACACGTTTTGGCTGATAAAAGTATGAATTGTGCGCATCAGCCTCAGCACTGCAAATATAGCAGTAAAACACCAGGGAAAACATTCCCCCGCAACCCAACTCCCTAAGGAAATTCAAGAGAGGTTCTGTGGGCTCTTTTATTGCTAGCACTAAGCACAGTGGGTACCTAGGTCTGTCAGCAGAAACTGCAGGTTCCCCTTTCAATCCAGACCGTTTGTCTGCTTACAAGCTAATATCAGGCAGTTTCTGCTGTTTGGCAGAAAGCACCAGAGGGTTTTTATTCCCCCCATTCTGAACTGATTTGGAAAAAACAGGGCTTCAATAATTCATGGGACAATCTGATCTTAGAAGTTATCACCATTTTTTCCTCATTAATTTATTTGTAAAGAGAAGAAATTTATTCAGTTTAAAAGATCCTTTATAAAGGGTATATACCATCTGTGTACACCAACAGAAACACAGGTTTCTGCTGTGAGAATGCTTGTACTTCAGAGCAACACTGAACCCAACAGCAAAAATCTGCCAAGGCAAGTAAGGCGAACAGACTAGACTGTACGTTCTGAATCAAAGGGTTTATTTAACCCAGTAAATGTCACCAAGTAGTAGTATAATTATATAAAGTAGTGTCAGAAGACTAAAGTGTAATGAACAAAATTAATTTCCAATACACTGAAATGAAATAAACCACTAAACAGGGTAGAACTGTCCCATACAGCTGGATGCTGGATGCTACAGAAAGGGCTTTGGCACAGGGAATTTATACCCTGGCTACTGTTGTTACATTTTCCATCCCTGGATAATGTAACAACAGTAAACCAGAGCAACTGGTTTACTCAGTGGTACCTGAAATTAAAGTAACTTTGGCTCACATAACAAGTGTCAATACTCATAAAACTGTTCCGCTTTTAGGCAAAGAAAAACAACCTCAACAGCTTACTTCAGTTATGCAACTCCTGTGAAGGCACACATGTAAAGAGCTGATGCAGATGCGGACCTCCTGCTCCTGTACTCCCAGTCCTTCCCACCTTTGCCAGGAGCTTGCTGCATGACAGCAAGCCAATGGCCGCTCCAGTGAGCAGAAGAAAGTTGCTATTTAATTATGCTTTAGAAGAAGAAATGACCAAATGAAGGCTCTTTCCTGCAGTTCTAACCAGCTTAAGCAAGATGATGGGTTTCCAAAAGTCCTGCAATCTACAACATAAAGGGAGGACAGGGGGTTTATCCGAGACGGCCCTTGGAATCACATCGTAGAGTTGCTAGTGCACCTGACGTGCCTGATCACAGCCAAGTGATCCACTCCAATACAAACCAACAGCAGAGCTTAAACTGGCTCAGGGAACCTCAGCTCCTTTCAGACTTCCCTCTGTAACTGGTAGAGCAGTTACTGAAAGCAGCTCCTTCCATACCCTCCCTCCAAATCACCGCTGTTTCATACTTATACATCCCCACTGCACTCACCCTCACCTAACTTTTATCAAATACAAAGCAACAGTTAACAACAGAAAACTAGTTCAGAGCAAAACTTCACCTTCTAAAGGTACTTTAGGAACATGGCACAAGTCCATACTATAAGAAAGCAAGTAAATCTATTACCTGTTATGACATTAATATCCGGGTACTGGCTTTCACAGAGGGTAACAGCCTTGCTGTCCTTTTCGAATGCTTCTCGAAGCTCTTTCTTAACTGCTGCTGAGCCACATAACCGATACAGGCCTACCACCTAGAAGCAAAAACAATAGCCTGTATCAGTCATTTCCCTGCAGAGGGGACTAATAACTGGCATCATGTGTTGTCTCATCCAGGAAGTGTAACTAAACCAACTGTTTGGAAATATATATTAAAGAAATTCAATCAGTGCAAATCAAATGGTCACATATAGTATCAAACATTTCACAAGACACACAGTTGGGTCTGTGAAGTGCTGAATAACACTCATGTTTTCCATAATGGTGAACATCCTGAGCAGTATTTTGTTGACAGGAGTTTCAAATTGGAATAATTTAGTGCTTTGCTTCTATGCCAACTAAGGAAATGAAATACTGATGAAACATCTATTCTTATCCTATTTATTTAGATCACCATTATTTTTCCTAGTTTAACTATAGAAGGCAGAAATGGAACTTTAGCAGAAAGAAATTAGGAGAAGAAGTGGTTTGAGCTTTATGTATTTAAAATCACATTAATTTTACATATATACCAAATTAAGGTTATTAATCATTAAGCAGAAAAAAGCAGTCATACAACTACCTATTAAAATAAGAAATGTTACAAGCAATTAAAAAGAAACAAGCAACAAGCAACAAAATAAACCATACTCTATTATTACACCTACAATATGCTATTTTAAAGATTACAAGATGCTGACCTACATGTGTTTCAAATCATATTAAAAGTTTTATGCAAAACAGAGGTTATTTAATTTGCTCAAAGTGATAGGAATGAAACCCACAACACTCTTGGACTGAACTACTGGTTAAATCATGTACTTTCATGCACTCAAATCTTGCATTTTATCATTATTTACTTTTCATCAACACCATTTACACAAAGCACTCCTATCATCTTAAGGAACTAAATCTTAAACATATTAATTTTATTTTAATGAACTTCATAGGCAGCTGTACTGAGCAGTAAATGGTTAGTCCAAAACTCCAGGGACTCAAAAGACAAAAAAATACCCAAGGGCAAACAAACACACACACAAAAAACCCCAAATAAAACACACACACAGGAAAACCCAAACAAAAAACAAACCCTGGCTTAGACTGTACTGACTTAGACCATACAAATCTCAGTTTGCAAGCAAGAGTATTTGTCTGGCCATATATTAATTCCTATTTAAATAAATAGAAAGTTACTCAACTGAATTTGTACCCACTCTTCCCAAGACTGATCACAATCTAGTATTTGCTTAAGATAATTTAAACTTTTCTAATGCCAGACCTGGATTCAGGTGCAGGTAACACACCATGACAGCAGTCTGCAGTATATAGTAAAGATAAACGCCAGGCAAGCACGTGGTTAAGAAAAAGCTAACAGTAGATTTCTCATTTTTGGTTCTCCTTGTGCAAACACACAAAACAGATTTCATGCTAAAAAGCACCAGGTAAATTCAGACAATTCAGACCCCAATCGCTTCATTACCAGTGTTGCCTTGACTACCCAATGTCATTTGCATGACTAGGTGCTAATAAGCCCAAAATAAAATGCTGAAACCATGGGACACATACACTGGTAAGAATAAAACTTCTCTTTTCCACTGCTTTTCATAACAATGGAAGCATTCACAATAAGAATCATACAGTTGTTATCAGCAGTGACTTTCAGCAAAGTAATTACACAGAAGTAAGATTTCTCTGTATTTTATGACCTAGGTTATAAATGGCAGAGTTAATCTCTTAACACCTGGAACTATATCCAACCTGTCAGCAATTTAAAATAGAAACAGTGGTATTTCACCTGAGCAAGAACAGGTGTACAAGAAACCAAGGGCTCACACATGCTGTGGAATAGCATGCAAGAGTCCTCCCACCATCCGACCATAGGACTGTGAATAGTCCTTCCTATTCCTTCTTGTCTAACATCCATAACTGGTTATTTGTTTTCATACCTCATTCCTCAAACATATTTTTGTCCATTACCTTACATCAACCAAAAAACTGTATTAAGATGAAGAGAAGAAACTGGGCACTGCTGCTTTACAGCATTCATCTCCTGTCCTGATTTTGAGAACAACCTAAAGAAAGGCCAGGGGCAGCAGCATGGGGAAACAATTAATTAAGCCCCCTGGGGTCTCCATCATCACCAGTGTGGCAGAGCCAAGTCTTTGGCATGTTGGTTTGAGACTGAACACATGTAAGTAAAATCTTGTCAAAAGACCTGTCCTCATCACTTTGTGTCACTGCACAGGATGCCTCAGTTTTGGGGAGGAGGGAACATTATACTCATTTTTGCATTTAGATACATGTCCTTATGGAATGATCTATGTCTCAGGAATCAAGCATTTTCAAGTTCCCAACTCTGCATTCTGAGGGTGACTACATTCTGGGGGTTCCACATTCATTTCACTATCCCAGTCCTAAAGCACTATTTTGAGTACATCTCCCCTGCAAAGGCCAAATTGGAAGCACTGATTTCACACAGTTCTGTTATTCTTCCCACATTACAGTGATTAGTGCTTACCAAACAGGAGCAGCAAAGCAAAAGAAAACAAAAACTGACATGTAAAGGTGTTTTTCATTTCCCCTTTCCAACTCACTGCATACACTCTGTGACAACAGTTACTCTAACACAGAAGTATTAACAGAACAAATTAAAATATGCACAGTACCTGACAGCCTCTCCTTTCAATCTCCAGGATGCATTTCTGCATTAAAAGTGGCACCATCAAGCCTGCGTTTTCCTTCTCTACAACTTTCCGAGCATCTACCCCAAACATCACAGGCTCCCGATCTGCACCGAGGCCATCAAGAGAGTTCTCCCACTGCTCCATGAGTGTCAGCTTGACGTAAATAAGCCCCCTGGGTTCCAGTTTGACAGCCAGCTGATGTGTCTTTGCCACTCGGAAGAGAGTGGGAAGAGCCACGGTTCCATGGCAGCACACACGGTTCTTCCGTGGGGTGGGCTCCCAGCTGAACACCACCAGCTTCAAGTGCTGAGCGTTTTCGATTTCTATGTTGAACGTGTGGTCCATATCTAGGAATGTTGTCCTACATGTAAGCAAGGCTGTTCTTGCTTTGTTTACTGAGTCAACCTGTATTGCACAAAAGACATCTTTTGAGTCTATTCTTGGTGGTTTTAAGTCTTCAGCACCATAAAAGTGAATGCTCATGAGTCCAGAGAGGTACTGAGAGCACTTGGGTTGATCAGAAAAGTTGTAGTGTTTGAAGGCATCAATATCTATTTCAGTTTTACCACTGTTACTTGGAAGGCTCTCCTTTCCTTTCCCACACTTGGTTTCATGCCCATGTTTACCTGATTTTGTTATAAGTTCAGGAGAGTCGCCATCACTGAGGTAACCACCTTTGCTGAAGGATTTGGAGCTCCTCGACCTTTTCTTTTTGGGGGTGTGTTGTGACAACACGCTACTGTCCAGGTGGTAACGACTTATCACATTCCTGCTGGCAGCTGTGGTTGAGTTTCCAGAAGATGGCAAAGATACTGTATGGCTTGTATCCCTGGCTTTCAGCAAGGAAGGAGGATTATCTGAACTAGTATGGCTTGAAGTTCCCTTGACACTCAGCTTCCTGCTCAGCTCTGGCAGCTTTTTCATTTTCATGGAAAGCTTCCTCACAGTTCTGGGAGATTTAATTCTATCAGGGAATGGCCAGTTGATTGATCCGCTTTTTTTCAGAGGACTGGGACTTGGAGGAGAAACCTCTGTTGAGGGACTATCAGCCTTGTGTGCAAGTATACCTCCAGACCCTTTAGAAGAAAACAGAAGGAATAATCATATTCAAACCACTCAGTAACTGCTGTTCTCAGCAATGAAAAAACAAACATTGAGCTAGAGGGAAACATGTTGATTTGTCATAACCTGATACACACAATTCATTCAGACAACCATCATTCATTCATCAGGCAGATATTCATGAGCATTTGGAAAGCTGTGCTCTGCTGGCTCGTTCAGCCAAGTTTGGCAGTTCATAGTCAAAAGCTAGATTTGTTCTGCTTTATGGAGATGAAAGGGCCAGAAACTACGTAAAAACAAACGAGCTATCTCAGCCATGACATTCAGCTCAAGCTATTTGTGTTGTATCCCCTGTAGAAGCAGACGTGGCTGAATTCCTGGGGCACAGATGCAATGAAACCAGTCTTAAATGAGAAAACACTGGAATATTGCAAACGCACCCCTGTCTACAAAGCCAACATTTAGCTACATAGCCAACACATCAGCACTGCCCACTCCTCTCAGGTCTAGAGGAAAGACACTCATCTCTAGAAAAGATTATGACTGTACTCTTCTGCATGTCCTTCTATTACACCAAAGAGACCTAAATCACTCCTGTGTAGACACAGTGAACATCTCACACCTTCTCTTCCATCATTTCTCTCAGCTCCTCCTTCCCACTGCAGGACAAAGAGGAGTACAACAAGGATTTATTCCTTCCTACACCGCCTCATTCCTGAAGTGTTGTTTTCATGAGATACTCAGCAAATCATACTTTAGAGAGATCTTGCAGATTTCTTAAAGGCTTACCACTTTCAATTCTGAACTAATCACCTTAAATCCAAATCACCATAGAGCTAGTGACTTTTACAAGTCCCTTGTCCAGCCAGATTAATTTTCACCCTTTAATTATAACTTTAAATACTTCACTTAGCTTAAACAGTTAATCAGGTGATCTGGTCTTTGGTCAAGGTGATTTGTTGTAGTTTTGGTTTTCTCCCAAAAATTCCCCTACAAAGACCAGTTGTAGTCCCAACAGAAATCTGGCTTTAATAACTTTTGCAGACAGTTGCTTGAAAGAATATCTGTATAAAAGTCTCAGTTATGAAAAACAACGCCTAGAATATGTTTTCCAGAGCAACAGAGGAAAATTCATTTGGCCCTGCATCTCACGGTATTAGCCCCCTTGCAGGGGAAGGGCTATTTCTAGCATGCCTGCTGTGCTTTTCTGGAAAGCAGCTAGCTAGAAATGTAGTGTTCGATAAAAGTGGACAAAGACTTCCCTTGTACTGCAAATCACAGCACAGTCCCACTGGTGGGCTGGCCTGGAGTGCTCCACAGCAATCAGTGCCATACTGCAGACTACTAACATTAATCTTCCCTTTCTGTCAAGTCTCTGGCATGGGCCTGGAAAAGCAGGCCAGCAAATTAAACTTCCCCCCCTTCCCAGCTCTTTGAAACTGAAGAGTCAATCTAACACCCTGACTTTTATGTGTCCAACTTCTGCTGCGTTCAGCAGCAAACAGTTAAAATGAAATATGTGGCTGGAAGAAACTTAACAGTCGAGTATTATGCATGATGGTATTCCCATCAGCATTCAGCCACATGTTGTTCCACTAAAGCCAGCAATGTGCTGAGGTATGCACGCCATTTTAAAGAGTGTACATGACACAACTCTGAACAAGCTGCAAAAGGAGCTGTACCTTAGTTTGGTAACACTTCACTTCCAAGCCTTCCCCATCTGACACAGCTTTCCCACAGGGGTGCCAGAGGAACTGAGCTGCTCCTCATTCCTTTACCAAAGTACAAGGCTTGCTGGAAACAGACTCCTCACTGTCCCTGCCCCTACTCACTCAGCCACTGCACATCCCACATCCCATCTCAGCAGCTAAGCTTTAAAAATACCCTTACAAAAGGATGGTGGAGGAAGGAAGGAAGAAGATGAAACATAAGAGGCACCTGTTGAGTAAATGACTACCAGGGCAGCAACGGGATGGTCAGTTTTGTGTATGCAGCTGACAATATATTTATGTGTATATATATAAATTGATTTCTTTCTTACAGTGAGAACACTCAATCAGTGGAACAAGCTCCCCTAGGACACAGTAGAGTCTCCATCACTGCAGGTTTTTGAGACACAACTGGACAGGGTGCTAGGTGATCTCATCGAGGCTCTCCTTCCCACCAAAGGGTGGACCAGACATCTGCGGTACTTTCCAACCTAGGCTGTCTTTCCTACATACACCTTATGCTTTCCTGAAGATTTAGCATTATGAGCAACACAAGGAAAAAAAAACAAAACAAACCAGCTTTTGAAGGCCAACACAAGCCAAATAAAAGTGACTTGACATCATAAGTGACTCCTTCCATCAGCTTGACTAGTAAAGCTGCCTTTTACTTTTCTCAGTGATATGGCTATGTGAAAGGATGAAACCTTTTATACAACCAAAGGGACACAACTGGAGAGACACAACCAACCCACAGTGCCTTATGAACCCTTACCCCCCCTTTTTCTCCCCATGTGGCCAGATGTCCACAAGGCAATTGCCACTGTCCCCTTGACCGAGCAGGCTGGCACGCATGGACCATATGCCTACACAACACTTCCCCAAGGGAAGAGAGAACTCAAACCATCTTAAGCGCTTACAACACAGCCCCTGCCAGACATATGCAGTAATTCAGCACAGTAAAGATGCTTGTCTGACCCTGTTTAACACTGTTTACATGTGCTTGGGCACATATATCACTGTCATACCTGCTGCCAGCAAGGCATGTTATTTTACAGGCACATTTGATTATCCTAAGGTAGGGTTTCTGAGTTATTTTAAAGTTCATCAGAAAACCTGTAATTTATTTTGGGGGCAACAAGCTAAGGTGAGTGAATAAGTCAGAAAACTATTAGTTCCTTATTACAGCAAGCTACTGAAGTATCAAATGGCCATTCTCTCAACTAATGGAAATGCTGAGCTCCCACCAAACTAAACCTGAAAGGTAATTTAATTTTTCCAACCATTCTCCAGACATACTTAATAAGTAAACCACAATCTAACACTGAAAGCTTTTCTCTAGAATAACAGCATTAGTATTGAAGATCTAAGCCATTTCATTTTGAAAAGAGAAAAAAAAAACAACCCAACACAGTTTACACAAAGTGGTTGTAACTTTCAAAACCAAAGCCTCCCTTCTGCCTATGTTTTTCATGCCTTTTTAGTAGTATTATTTACAAAAACAACCCAAGGACTTTTGGGGAAGATGTGTTAAAAATGAAAAAACAGCAAATCAAAACAGAAAAGCTCAAATATCTCAAAATTGTTCTCGTAGCAAACAATGGGTGAGTGAAAACGGACTACTGCTCTTCCGTGCTAGATTACAAGAAATACTGATCTGGATGATCAACTGACACAAATGGCACAACTCTACTGATGTCAAGGGCTGTTAGCTTACACAGCTGCAGGCAACTTAGGTTTCTCCATCTTCAGATAGTTCCAGATCTGCTCTGATACAAAACTTCAAAAGAGAACTGTAAATAGCATTGAGAGAAGAATTCATGCGGTATCAAAATCAAGCAATTTCAATTAGGATACAAAGAAAGCATAATTTCTACTCATATCAGCAACTCGGAGTAGGACATACACAAAAAAAAAGAACTTTTAAAAAATGAAATAGAATGGAATTACTTCTATGTAACATCTTAATTATCTAAATAAATGGAAGAATCTCCTGTTTTAACCTGTAAAAAAAGTCCTTTTTTACCCCTAGAAAACTACTACTTTGACCAATGCAGTCTGAGTTCTATCCCACATAATGTTTCAGTGTGAAGGAATGGAAAAATTATTAAAATGGTAAAAAAACCCAAACAAAAAACCCAATCAAACAAACAGACAAAAACCTCTCTATGAATCTGGTAAAGATAGTCTGCTTTTTTCAAATTCTATGCACACGGACATTAATTAAGCTGTGATAAACCCATCAACACAGGGATCACCTGATCCCTAGAGCAAAAGATATAAAATGAATTGCTTTCAATAGCCCATTAATTAAAACAGGAAGTGATTACAGCAGAACCCCCCCAAGGCTCATGCACACTGAGAGGTGAAGGGGCTAACCACTCACTGCGTGTTCTCCATCACAGTGGCGACCCTCAGAGCATCCTTTACAAGTGGTATCTCATTAGAGAGAGGAACAAGCATGTGTAACAGCACTTTAGATCTCTCACCACACTTAAAGAGTTCAGTATCTACAAATAAGCATGAGTTAGTTGCAGATATTTTAAGTATCAATGATTCTGCAATGCACATAAATTGCAGCGGGCTCTGTTCATGTGCTGGCATCACACCAAGACACAAGCGGCAGTACTGCACCTGATGCCAAGCACTGCCTGTTTGGGATGCTTTCATAGATTTCCTACCCTCAGTGTGTCTTTCATGACATGAAAAGCAGTTTTGCCCCTATTTCCCTAGTCAGAGAATATGAACAGTTGCAGTTCAGTACAAATCAAACTGGAACAGGCAATGGCTATTTTAAATGAACTGCTCCCACTCCGCAGCTGCTACATCCTTTTGCCTCTTCTACCAGCAGGTCTTTATGGCATTGTCATCCCGTAGATCAAAGACACAAAAGCATGGGCACAAGCTCCTCATAAGCCCACTAAAAAACTGGCTTCAGCTCTGCAGGAGTAAAAGGGAGCAGAGGAACCCTTCTGCCATACGCCAAACCATTCTGTTATCTCAAATATTATGCAAATATTTCACGTGAATGCTTTTCTGCCTCATGAACCCAAAGCTTCTTGCACTTGGAGAACAGTTTAATCACAAAGCATCTTCCATCTGGAAAAACAAAAATTAAGCAAATAGTATCTGCAATATGTGGAATGAAACTGGTACATAGAATTGGCTGCACAGTATACTCTGTATGTTGCTGGAAGCTTATCTGCAACATCTAAGCACAAAAAATACTTGTTTGCATTGGCCCCAAAAGGTGTATTTGGAAACTAGGATAGTGGTCACGGTCTAAGTTGTGAAAGAACACTGTAGCTTTAAAGTGATTTAAGGCAACCTCTATCGGGCATACATTGAGGTCAAGTGTGAACATGGTACCACAGAACACCAGGTTGGAAGGGACCTCAACCTTCACTTCCTACAATGCTGAAATGAAATCTGCTTATGGTGATTCCTCCCAGGATCTTCCACCCAGGCAGCTAACACATACACATTTTCCACAGCAAAAGCACCGTCCAGATCCTGGCAACCTACAATGCATCAAGTCCTATCAGGATGTCCGAGATACACACACGTGTGAGATGATTCTACTCATTAGGTAGACACTAATACCAACAGTAATCCTACCCAAAAGCAAAAATAATACAAATTCTTCAGAAGGCACCACAGTGTAAATCTATTACAGGAGGTGGTATTGTAAAGAGGTGTTTTAATTCAACATTTTGCAGGTGATACACACATCTATAAAAATATACAGGTAGAATTCAATCCTAAACAGCTGTAAACAAAATCTAACATTTTATATAGGCAAAAAAAACCTATACGTAGAATTCTTCATACTGCATTTATAACAAAAAAAAAAAAAATCCAATCATTTTATCTGCACAAGGAGACATTAAATTAAAAACAACCTCCAGAGTGCTTTCCTCCTAAAACTATTCTCCCACAGACTTAAGAGCACAAGCAGGCCCTGTTTCTATATTATGAATGTAGAACCAAGTTATCTTCTTACTCCAATCTCTTGTGTACTTGTTACAAACAAACCACATTATTCTCCTAAGTTCTGCAATAAAATCATAGAATGGTTTGGGTTGGAAAGGACCTTAAGATCATCCAGTTCCAACCCCCCTGCCATGGGCAGGGACAGCTCACACTATACTATGTAGCCCAAGGTTCCATCCAGCTTAGCTTCGAACACTGCCAGGGATGAAGCATTTATCACTTCTTTGGGCAACCTGTTCCAGTGCCTCACCACCCTCACAGTAAAGAACTTCTTCCTTATATCTAACCTGAACTTCCCTTGTTTAAGTTTGAACCCATTACCCCTTGTCCTATCAGTACAGTCCCTAAGGAAGAGTCCCTCTCCAGCATCTTGTAGGTCCACTTCAGATACTGGAAGGCTGCTGTGAGGTCTCCACGTAGTCTTCTCTTCTCCAGGCTGAACAGTCTCAACTCTCTCAGCCTGTCTTTGTACAGGTGCTCCAGCACACTTACTGTCCTCGTGGCCCTTCTCTGGACTTGCTCAAACAGCTCCATGTCCTTCTTATGTTGAGGACACCAGATCTGCACAAAGGACTCCAAGTAGGGTCTCATGAAAGTAGAGTAGAGGGGCAGGACCACCTCCTTCGACCTGCTGGTCACACTCCTTTTGATGCAGCCCAGGATACGGTTGGCTTTCTGGGCTGCAAGCGCACACTGAAGCTGGCTCCTGTTCAGTTTCTCATCAGCCAACACCCCCAAGTCTTTCTCCTCAGGGCTGCTGCTCTGAATCTCTTTGCCGCCGAGGCTTTAGCTGCACCTGGGATTGCCCTGAGTCAAGTGTAGGACCTTGCACTTGGCTTGGCTGAACTTCATGTGGCTGGCATTGTCCCACCTCTCAAACATGTCAAGGTGCCTCTGGATGACATCCCTTCCCTCCAGCGTGTCAACCAAACCACACAGCTTGGTAGAATCAGCAAACTTGCTTAGGGCACACCCAATCCCACTGCCCATGTCGCTGACAAAGATGTTGAACAGGACTGGTCCCAACGCCAACCCCTGAAGGAAATCACTTGTTACTGAGAACACCAAGGGGCACCTTATGTCTAATCAGCTCCTTTTAAAAGCCAGTGTGGCCAGAATTTCGCACCAAGGAATTACCTGACAAATCCTATTAACAAATGCCATTTACTGTAGAAAGTAACCAGATTAACACCAGGAACTAATGGTGCAAATTAAGACTATGGGGCAAATTAGCACCTCTACAGCCTCTACTGATAACATTTACAGGGAATATCTATCTGCTGTTGTGTTTGGAAAGACTCCAAATAACTGAATTCTATAATTTATTTTTTCTTAAACTTCTGTCTAACAAGGTCTCTTCCAAAAAAAAATAGCAAAAAGAAACAAATTCACAACCCTTTTCTGTCTACAAAGTTGGAAATCCAAATAAGGCAACAATATTTAAAGTTTTAAAGATAAAATTGATTCCATTATCCACAGAAGAAAGCAGCAAACGACAAAATGAACTGTATATTTTGTTGGCTTTTATAGAACCCCCTTTAATCCCTCTATGCTTCTCAAAATCTTATACTTTAGACTCTAACCAATATTGACATATATTACATAATATCATTAAGTAAGGTAAGCAGACTTTTCCCCAAAGCTGTAATCACTTATTTGTCAGGAGTTACTGCTGAATGTACCCAGCTTGCTAAGTATATAGACATCTGTTTCATAGCAGCTGTATAATTCAAGTAAGGTCCTAACACAAATAAAGCTAAATTGGCCATGTTGCCCTTCATGCAGTATTCTGTATGGATGAGCTGTCGTTTTAAATTTCACTGAAAATAACTGTAGATACCTTAACTGGATTAAAAACAACTACTAAGTCACTTCTCCATAATCAAGCCGATTACTGAGCAGCAGGGATCCACTTCATCATTAATTAATCTATTCAGCGTGATCACTGTTCAATACATGCAAAATGAGAGCTGCATCTAAAGTACCTCAATTAACTCAATGCATAACAAACCAATCAGGTAAAAACTTTTCTCCCGGTTTCATAAGACATATTTTTAAATAGGCAATTTTTCTCTGAGAAATTAATGTTTCTTCAGTATGAAAACGATTTGGATTTTTCCCTTCTCCCACATTAAGGGATTTATTTTTCTTAAAATTAAATAGTCACTTGTATATTGGGAGACGAACCCCCTAAGTGAGGGTCAAACAGTTTGCAGGACACACATGGCTTCCCTAAATAACCATGCTTACTGACCTCTCCAAAGCACCTAGAGCTCTAACGATGACAAAAATCTACTTAAGAACATGGTATTTCAGTTATCTTGCAAGCAAATATAACTGGTCCAAGTATTTAATGCACCTATAAAGTGAGTTATTTCTAAATGAATGTCCAGTAACTTTGCCACTAAAAATATGCTTGTGTCTGCAGCATTCCCACAAAAAGAACAAAACATGAGCTCCCAGAAGACCAAGTGGTTTTTATTTCTGCTGTTTATAGCAGTTGCTCTGGTGCCTTTGAAAACAAGCCCTGTTCCCAGAAGCAGTCTCCACACTGGGAACCCAGGCACAGCAACTCTGGACACGTGAGGTTGTGAGGGCAGAAGCCTGCCAGGATGGCGAGCAGGGCAAGACAGATGGGGGTCCTCCTCTGGACACAATGCCAGTGTTTCAGGTCCTCTCTGCTGAGGCAGGCAGAAATACAAGCTCTTACAAAGAGCAAAAGTGTGCAAAGACAACATGAGCCTTCTCTAAAGAGGGGAACCTGGAATTCCCTGTCTCCTGAGCTTTATGCTATTTCTAACTCTCAACAGGATACTAGAGTTAAGCTCAAGATAATATAAGACACATCACTAATTAAAATAATACCTTTTGGAAAGGCTTGGGGGTTTTTTTCTGCTTACTTTTTCTGCTGTGGTTTTATTTTTGTTTGGGCTTTTTTAATAGACTGGGAAAAATATTTAGTAAGATGCTGAATTCATGTAGTAATGGTATTATGGAAATGAGACCATTAATCACTCAGCCAAAGATAACAAGGACCAAAGAGACTAGGTTCTGAAAGTGAAAACCATTCCTCTCCAGTCTATTAGATTAGCCTGAGACAGTCAACAAGACAGCAATTATGGAAAAGGATGTGATGAATAGCATTTATATGGTCTTCCAAAAAGTCTTTATTAAAAAGACCCAGACAGCAAGTTAAAGAAAGTTCTGCAGACATTAAGTAGCTTTAGGCCAGGGTTAGGCACTAGCTAACAAAGGAAACCCCACCACTACATCCTCACATTACCCAGGCTTTAGCAAGTTTGCTTTGTAAAACCTTTGTCTTCAGCAAGGTGAGGGCCCAAAAGCACAGAGAACAACCACAGTTGGACATACCATGGACAAACTGACTGAGAAAAGACTGTGCAGCTCTACACCTAGTAGACATCAGTCTCACAAATTGAGTCATATTTTACGAACTTGACAAGCATTTCCAGCAGAAATTTGCTTGATTAAGATAAAGGAAGGAGAAAGAGAAAAGAGAGATATCAGAAGGGTTTATTATTCAACTAAAAGAAAACAGAGGACATAAACACTTTAATGTTCCTGAACCCTCTTACCTGTTGAAAGGCACTTAAAGGTAGGATTGTCCTCCGCTGACGGCACACTGGGAGCCTTGCAGGCAAACCTCTGCCGATGCTGCTGCATTTGCTCCCCAGGATGTGCAGCATCGGCCTGACTCACTTCGCTGGGCTGAGCTGTATGACTGTTCCCTGTGCTCTCCGTGGAGCATGGGGGACCCTCACGGGGACCCACAGACATCCCAGAGTCACCTCCAGGGAGGGATTTGTACTGAATAGCCAGGGAGCCCACAGCAACAGGGCTATTCACAGCAGAAAGGTGCACCCTCGGCAAGTCAGGCTCATCATCTTCAGGGATTGGGTTGTACCATATTTCTCCTTCATCATCTGCATCATTATCCTCACCCAAGTCCAAAGCAGGGCTTCTTGGCAAGGCAGGGCTTGCAGTGCCACCGACAGGAGCGCAGCCTTGTATGGGGCGCTCCCGCCCCACCGGTGACACGGAAGGAACCCGTGGTACAGCGGGTTCAGGCAGCGGGATAGGAGATTTGCGTACCGGGGTAACAGCCCTGTGCATTTCCTTACAGGCATTTTCTTCTTCCAGAGAATGAGGAGGAGGTCGGTGCATGCTCTGCTGCAGCCAGCTGCGTTTCTTAGAAACAGTGATGCTGTTCATCAGCAGCCTGGGCTCAAGGACTGCGCTGGCCTGGGGGGACCCAGGCTCTTTCCTGCTTCTCGAAGCTATGTAAACATTTTCGATTAGATCTGTTCCCAGAAAGAAAGGGGAAAAAAAAAGAGGGAAACATAAATGTTTAGAATATCATTTTGCTTTCAACAGATGAACACACAAGCTGCCATATGACATCTATATTAAACCTCATGTGAAAGGACAAAAGACAAGTTGATGCGATTATAAAATTAGATTTCGGCCTGTCAAAGCAGAATGTGCACATAATTAATAAAGACTCAGACTTGTTTGCCTGAGTTTTTAACACCATGTAATTTAGATAAATGGCAGCAAGATAGCTCTGCTGAAAGGTCATGCATACTTACACAGAAATGGCTGGGGTTTTTCTGCCAAGTTCAGGTACAATTGGTTTGAGAAGTTGCTATGTGTTTTTTCTCCAGTTTACTTAGCCAATGAAGAAACAGACCTTACTTTTGGTATAATGTACTACTAAAACGGCTACAAGAAACCCACATAGATTCACTTCTAGATTTTTATATAAATTAAGGTGATGATATCTCTTGCATAACAACCTCCAGAAAGGACTGTCTTTTCAGCTTTATCCTATAATTAAGATGGACGCAAGCCCGATTTGTAGGGAATAAAACCATCACAAAAGGAAGGAAGGAGAATGAAGAGCTCATAGAATCACAGAATGGTTTGGGTTGGAAGGGACCTTAAAGATCACCCAATTCCAACCCCCTGTCATGGACAGGAACACCTTCCACTAGACCAAGTTGCTCTAAGCTCCATCTAACCTTCCATGAACAGCTTCTCTGAGCAACCTGTGCCGTTGCCCCACCACCCTCACAGGGAAGAACTTCTTCCTCATGTCTAACCTAAACGTAAAAAAGTTTTAAAATATCTAATGACACACCAAAAATTTAGTGCAACACCTGATCAGATTCCACTGACTGCTCCCAAGACTTGACACTATTTCCTTAAAGCAATCACCAAACATTTAATTATGCATCCAAAAATTCACCTGCACTCAAGGTCCTTGTCAGAGCACATCCAAGCAGCCCACTCACCAGCAGTGGCAGGCTGCATGGCACCAAATGCAGCAGCACATCCAGGCAAGCACCAGTCCTGTCACTAGGACTGGAAGGAAAGCTGCAAATACATTCAAATGATAAACAGGGAATGGAGGACAGATAACCCTCATGCTCCTCTGCACAGAACAACCCAGACAGGGTTTGCTCAGCTACTGAGACTGAATCGGGATAACTGGGTTTCCTAAAACAGACAACTTGTTTTCATGGGAAGCCCTCCGCAGTTTGAAATTCCATATGGGAGCAGCTATTTGATACTGCTTGAACGTTATTCTCAGAAAAAAAATATTTGAACACCAATCACAGACGTTAAAATAGGGACATGTCTCTGGAGAATTCAAGGAGCAGCTCTGCAAATCTAGCTATGTTCACTGCAGACAGGGAGACAGGAAAAAGACTGTCACTTTAACATCTTCCCTTCTACCCTCTTTTTCGGTTTGTACTTTAATGACAGAAGAGATCCTTGATAAGATCTGATACACCATTTGATGAAAGATTCATCAGTTGGTGATTCTTTTTTTTTAAGGTGAGGTTCACTTGTTTAGCTAAACTGCAATATGAACAGCTTGTGATCTGAAGAATTAACTTGGTTCAAAGAAGTAACAGAATTAACCATGCTCATTTTGAAGCCTGTGCACACCTCCACTGAAGTGCTTCGCTACACTGGGGTCTAAGTTAGTCCATTAACAGAATATGAGGAAAATAAGAAAGCAGGGCTGAGGGAGCAGATCTCTGGGCAAAGTTTCAGTGATTTGGCAGCAACTGTATTCCTTCCCCCACCCACAGCCTCAAGATTTAAATGTGCCATGGCAAACATTCCCCTTTACACAAATTTCACTACTATTTCAAGAACAACCAGAAGGACAGGGAACTAATCTGCAGAGGGCACAGGGCTAGGCCTGCATTTCCAAGAAGCCAGGTTGGATCAGGTACTTCTCAGGCAGGCACCCTCCTATCTCAAAGCCCTCTACTTCTGCATGGACAGCGCAAGGAGACATCTCTGCTCCAGTGACATAAATAGATGGAGTATCTGAGAACTGTACTTCCACACAAAAAAAGTATCTGCTACTTCCTGCTCCACTGTAGGAACACAGGCCCATCTGCACCAGTTAAGGCAGCCCACAATTCCCAAACCAGTAGGCTCCTATGAGGTACAATGTGCTTAAATATACAGCCAGCAACACATCTGGCACCAGCCTCAAGATGCCCTTCGGTCCCAGCAGCAGTGACTGCACAGAGCAAACTCAGCTTTGTTTCCAACATCCACGCACACATTTCAGTTACAAACCCTGTGCAAAAGCTTACTGCAAAAACCTGATTACTAACCAGGCACATCCAACAACCCTGCTGCTGGCAGAGACACCGCACCTATCACACCTATTCACAGCCACCCCATCTCTGAACGAGCCAGCACACTGCCAGGGGTCATCGATGGCAAATGTTCACTGAATCCCATCCAAAACATACACTTACAAGCACATCTTCCAACTGTAGTTTTTGCAACTGACAGCAGTACCTGCAACCACCGCTTCCCCTTTATTCGAACTTGGCCATGCTCCTGAAAGCCCTTATGCCTGTGTTTATTTTAGAAACAGTCTCCCATGCAAGTATCTGCACAACCAGTGGTTCAATATCACAGAGCAAGTTTTCAGTGTTGTTAACTGTTATAGTAACGAGCTGGTTTTAAATAAATACAAAGCACTCAGACATAGACAGGCCAGGCACATACTTTTTGTTCCAGAGCAAAGTTCCATTCAGAAGAATGCTGCCTGCTCTCTGTTAGCACTTTCATATCTTTAATGTGCGTGCAGAACTTCAATACTTTTAATGTAAAACCAGACCAGGCCTCCAAACAGATACAGAACATGTCAGTGGTTGCCCTCAAAAGGTGTTTAAGGGAGAAAAGTGAAAAAAATGCAGGATTTTCCTTCACATTCCACTTTATATACAAGAAAATAAACAGAGCAGTATTTAAAGTTAAGCCATTATGGTAACAACACATACATGCTCATATATGAGCAAAGCCAAAGAACTTCAACATTTCAGCTCAACTGAGGTCAAAACTGATATTCAGCCTACTACGCAGACATACAATCAACATGATGCTGTGCACTGCTTTTCCAAGCGTAAGGAAGAGGGGAACAGCTTTTCCAGCCTCTCCATATACGGATCAATCTATAGTTCTCCTGGCTGCTCCTTAAACACGCTTTCTTTCACTACATTTCTTAACGCAGCTACAAAGTATAATAGCTACGAATTTAGACGAAACAACAGCAAAATTGATTTGCAAGCTTTCAACGCGACCTTAAACCCAAACCACCACAAAGCCAAGCAGCAAACCCAAGCCAAGGAGTGACAGAGAGCAGCACGGCGAAGAAGCGCTGGTCTAAACCCGAGAGCCCCTCACATTAACGAGGAATCTTTATTCCCGATAGGAGCAGCAATCACTGACGGGACGATGCTACCGCGGCGGACTGACTCCAGACCTCAACCCCAGACCGCTCCCCGTCCCTCTCGTCCCGCTCCTCCCTGCCGTCTCAGGTGGAGGAGCCCCGTCCCTCAGACACTCACCCTGCGGGGCGCACACCCCGCCGTGGCGGTGCCCGGCGCCCGCTGTCCCTCGCTGAGACCTCCTGCCCCGCAGCTTAGAGAGCGTCCTACGGAGCGGGTCAGCCATGCCTGGCTGCTGCGTCCCCGACGCCTTCAGCGGGCGCTACGCCCCGGCCCGCGGGACCCGACAGCCCCGCTGCGCGGCAGGAGCGGGAGCGCTGGGCCGCGCTGCCCCATGGCGGCGTGCCTCCGCGAGCGCGGCCCCGGCTCCGCCGCGCACATACCTCGCATAGCTGAGCGGGGTGAGAGGGCGTCCGCAGTGCGCATGCCCGGCCCGCCCCGCCCGTGAGGGGCCACGGCTGATCCCCCTTCCACTGCCCTGGTCGGCCTGAGGGGAGGAGGCCCCGCGGGTGCTTGCCAGAGGGGTCTGGGGCTCCCGGGGCTATGGCAGGCGGCCCGGGCACGGACTTCTCAGCAATACCCCGAGTTGTACGCATGGTCTGTCAGACTACAGAGAGGGGTATCATCACCTGCGGTAGCCATGTGCATGGCATTCCTTGCCAAACGGTCCACAGCATGTTTCAAATACTTCATAGCATCATAAAAACCTTTAAGATTATCAAGATCAGCCGTTAGCCCAGGACGGCCAAGTACACCACTTAGCCATGTCCCTGTGAGCCTTATCTACAGAGTATTTGAACACTTCCAGGGACAGTAATTCCACCACTGCCCTGGACAGCCTGTTCCAATGCCTGACAACCCTTTTGGTGAAGAAACTTCTCCAAACATCCAATCTAAACCTCCCCTTGCACAGCTTGAAGCTGTTACTTCTTGCCCTATCGCTTGTTACTTGGGAGGAGAGACCGATCTCACCTCACTACAACCTCCTTTCAGGTAGCTGTAGAGAGTGATAAACTCCCACCTGAGCCTTCTCCAGACTAATCAACCCCAGGTCCCTCAGCCATTCCTCATCACATTTGTGCTCCAGACCCTTCACCAGCTCCGTTGCCCTTTTCCGGACCCACTGCAGCACCTCAATGTCTCTCTTGCAATGAGGGGCACAGAACTGAACACAGGATTCAAAGTAAGCTGCAAACTTATTTTCTGTGCATGTGGCAGTTCTCAGTCCCTGACAGGTTTTCAGACTGTTTACCTGCCCTCTCACTCTCATGAAAAGCCTTTGTGCCCTTCTCAGTGCAGTTAACACCAGCAATGCAGGGATGAAGCTGGCCTCAATGTCAGGGGCCTTTAGTATTCCAGCCAAAATGCCACATAGGTATAAGACAAGCGGCATTTGGACAGAGCAAACAATGTACTGAGGCTATTGAAGTGAGCAAAAATCTGGTCTTGGTGTATGTGTTGCTCAGCTACATCGTGCAATGTTAATGCAAGCACACAGCCCTTCAAAACCTATCTTGGGAAATGATGTGGCACTGATTTTTTACCAAGATAAACTACTGGGACAGCTTTCATTGGTTAACATCTATGTGGGTTTATGTCTCCCACATTTCATTTCACTGTAAACAGCTTCAGGAATATATTTTGCAGCTTTTTACACTACATACCTTATGAACGATGTATGACACACCTGTCTTGTGGGTGAGAGCAGAGGAGCTGTTGCCATCTCCTACCCTTTAGCGGTGTGTTGGATGTCACCTCTCTGCAGAAGGCAGCCGGGAGCAGGTGGGCATTCCACGTGTTCCACATGCCAAGCACAGCACTGCCTTGAAACATGATGAATGCCCAGAAACAGGGCCAAAGGAAGGGCTCATTAAGTTCTGGAGGAACCAACCACAGCCCAAGAACATCACACACATTCACAATTTCCTCTTTTACCAGATTCTGAAGGGAGGAGTAGTAATTTGATCATTTGAAACCAAATCTTCATGAAGAACAAATTTTAAATGTTGAATCTTTAGATTCACCCAACAGCAGTAACACAGTAATACCTGTATCTCCACAATGCAAACCAAAACCCAAGCCAAAACATTACAGAATAGTTGTGATTTAATCGAAACCAGATCTCAGGATATTTATCATGTGTCATATTGCAACAACTTGAAATGCCATTTTGACATTACGTCCTTTGAAACCATTTGCATTTCTTTAAATACACGTATTGGGAAACATCTCTGTATGAGTTTCAGAGCAAGACGTAAAACCGTAACAGAATGCCTTTGGTTGGGACAAAGCATAGATGAGATGGTGGTGGCTGGGATTGTCTCAATGCTCACTGCTGTGCAGGCAAGGATCCTGCAGGGATCACATCCTGCCCCCTCTGATAGTTGTATCACAGCACCCATGGCCTGGGTTAGAAACAGCATCTCGGGCAAAGTAGCATGCAAGAAATACGTAAAACAAAACCTATCAGTGCTTTTCTGGCAGTGCATTCCTGTGCACAGTTAATGAATCTATCTCCACAGATTAATTCACAATTACAGTTTCTTCATAACCTATGGGCCACCTCCCAGGAGGGGTAATGCCACCTCCTTTAACCTACTCTCATCTGAGTGGTTAAGCTCTCATTCCCAACAAACACTTTGATTTCTAGTCTGGAATCGGTAAGCAAAACTAAGACTTTAATGATACCTTCCAGAACTGTGATCCTTGTCTGTAAAGACACAGTCAAAGAAGAAAGGTATAAACACATTTGATGGCACTTTTTTTGTTGTTATTCATTTCATAGTTGGATGCTGAAACAGGTTGCCCAGAAAAGCTATCAAAAATACATTCTGGGGACATTGAAAATTCGGCTGGCCCTGGCCAAGCAAACCTATGTGGCTTCTACCCTTCAGCAGTTCCATCCAACCTAAATTACTCTCCCAGCTCAAAACTTTTCCTCATACTGGAGCTGCCACCCTCCCTAGCTGAGAGATGGCTTGGATAACATGAATGAAGTCCAGCCGAGCAGAACACCAGTGACAAAATCCCAGGTAAAATTCTGCATGGGCACCACAGCTCAACTGCACTGACCTTACTGATGCTATCAGGAGGTTAGCTGTGCCACCACCATACGTATGCCTGAGACAAAGGGCATGTGTTTGAAGTCTGGAAGAGGAGATCTACCCTACCAAAAAACACTGAAAAGATTCAAAATAGGCAGTAGATGTACTCCAAGCTAGAAATAGTTGTGGCAACCATTTCAAATTGAGCAAACGGAAGTTTACACCTACCTTGGCTGTCATCTTCACACCTGCATATTTCCATCCTGTTCTAATGAGAAATCAGATTCCTCCTGCCTACCTGTGCCATAGCTTGTCTGAATTAGTTCCCTAATGAGTAACAACTTACTGCACTTCGAAGAGCTGTATGTAACTTTTAGCAAATTTCTGTTTATTTAGGTGACATTTTTGGAAATTTTTGTTACTTGGGTATTTCCTTTTGGCAATTAGAACAATATTAGTAGAAAATAGGTACTAGTCAGAGTAAGGAACAAATCCTGCAAAGAACTGGGGCACTGCTGTTTGGTATGCAGTACTGCCTTCTCCCATGACTATTAGCTATGGAAAGAAAAGAAAAATCAACATCATTGTATTTTCCATGCTGCTTCACACAGTGTTTTCTTCATGTTCTGTATGGTTTTAAATGTTAGTTTAAGCATTTAGATTATTCCTCTATGCAATAGGCACACAGGAAATAGCTCAGTGAAAAGCTGCCAATAGTTGAGCCTATAAACACAGTTTGATCTGTATCTTGGAAATTTGTTTCCATTCCAACCTGTGGTTACAAAGCACTTTTTCTTGTTGGCAGATGGATTTTTTTTAAATCCCTATGCATCCTGTATTTGCCCAACAGAGTTGGCATTGATCACACACCAAAAAAAAAAAAACAAACAACCTTCAGATAAAATAACATTAAGGATCTGGCTGGAACTAACTTGAGGCAGTGGAGTAAGAGTCAAAGCTGAGCTTTTGTTTTCAGCTCAGCCTATTTCATTCAGGAGCTGCAAATCACACTGTGCTGAACACAAGTCTTTTTACTCAGCCTTCTACAAAAAGCAGAAGCAACTTTAAGAGGATGGGACTAGAGCTTGCATCAGCTTGAAGAGGCTTCTTATTAGGAGACTGGCAAATATTCAGGACTGGTTAAACAGTGTGACTTTAAGCAAATAGAAAGCAGTAGTATTCTTCTGAAGGTACAAAGAGAAATGTTATGAAAGGTTTTTTTTTATTAACAGACAGATTTGGCCAATTACTTAATCTTTTCTGAGTTGATGACATGAGGATTGTAAATGACTGCGCAAACTTCAGTTGGAGGAAAAATAAAAGCTTTGATAAGAAGGCTATCTCTGGTGAAGAAGCTGATGCACAGGTGGCAGTGCTTGGGCACTGACTGAGCTGAATTACAAAATTACACAGATAAGTACAGAGATAAATAGATTCTAATAAAAGACTCACAAATGTGCTTCACAGCCTTGCTGACAGTGTCAGAGATCAGCTCCAATTCAGCAGATAGTGTCAAAGAAGCTGTACTTTCCTAAGTACACAGGCTTTCATTTCTGTACACTTTCAAGGGCTGGTTCTGAACTGCTCCAGTCTGACCTAGGAAAATTCCATCTGTCACAGCATCAGATGGATGTCCTCAGATGTACCTGAAATAAAAGTTTCATATTAATTTATGATGCAACTGTGCAAAGACACACTTTATTTTACTTCAATGGGATTAATTTGTGCGAGTAAAACTAAAAGTGTCTGGAAAGGTGAATGAGTCTCCTTTTCATTAAAGCTTAGCAAATTGGTATCTTTCTTCTCTCAACACCTATCGCAGACAGGAGGATAAAGTGACAATTACATGACCAAAGTGGAGCTGCTGACAGATGGGAACTGGAAGCACTTGAATGCCACAATAAAATCTATGAGCACTCTTTTTATTGAAAGTGTCTGCCTTCCTGACATCAAAATGGACTGAAATAAGAGTCCTGTGAAACTCTATCAGCAGCTAATAGCTGCGTGCATTATCTCCAGCCTGCCAAAAGACTGATCTCTTTCAGATGCCGACACCACTACAGTTATCCATACCTTTGTTACCCCCAGACCCTATTTTGAGCTGGCCAGCCAAGGCACCCGAGGGGCCCAGTGGGTCCAGAATACAGCTGCTTATCTTCTTAGGAAAACAAACCTATGGGAGAATGAAACATTTATATTCTAAACCTGAGGAGGTTGCTAGACAACAGGCTGACCAAAGCTGAAGGTGTTCATTATCAAAATGGCTCCACCATTTGCTTCCTGGTGAGTGGAACCATTTGCAAATGGAGTTGCACTTTTAAAAAGCAAAACTGAGAAATTCCAAGAGCAGTCAG